AGAATTCCCCAGCCAGCATTCGCTGGCTGGGGAATTCTGGGAGTTGAAGTCCGGACATCTTCAAGTTGCCAAGGTTGAGAAACACTGCACTAGGGCATCTCAAGAGAATCAGCCAGGCTGGGGACAAGCAAGGATTTCCAAAGAATCAACCGCAACATTGCCAACCAAGCCCCACAGCTGTGTTTGTGAAGACTCCACCAGTGAAGCTCAAGTTAGGACAGTGAGGGCGAATCTTTTTCTTACGCCGTGCCAAAATTGTGTGCTCGTGTGCTATCACATGAATGCCCATGCCCACACCAATTCAATCCTCCCCGCCCATTTGCACACATCACCCCTCCCCAGCCCCCGGAGGCTTTTCTGAAGCCTGGGGAGTGCGAAAACAGCCTCCCCCCCCCCTTCTCTTTCTTCTCCCTTCTTCCCCTCTTTCCCCCCCTCTTCCCTCTTCCTTCTCCCCCCCCCCGAGGCGCTCCAGGAGCTGGAAAGGATCATTCCTTCCTTGGCCTGTTGGGGCTGTTTCTTGCCCTCCCCAGGCTTCAGAGAAGTCCCGGGGGGCTGGGGAGGGATGGTGCAAGCATGTGCAGGTGGGTGGGGAGGATTGAATTGATGTGGGCATGTGCATGCGTCTCGTAGCATGCGAGCACACAATTTTGGCATGCCGTAAGGAAAAGGTTTCACCGTCACTGTCCTAACTTGAGCTTCACGGCCTCCCCGGGTCCTCAGCTGGTGGGCATGTGCATGCGTGCTGGAGCTGACGGCTGGCGTACCAGCAAATATGGCTCCGCATGCCACCTGTAGCACGCGTGCCATAGGTTCGCCATCACGGACTTAGGCCTTTCTTTTCTAAGTCAAGCCCATCACCCAAATTATTAAGTGAATTTTCCTCCCTGATCTCTGCCTGACTCTACAGATTTTTGTTGCTTAGCTGCAGTGAACAGCACTGTTCAGACAACCGTCATCTCCACTGCTAACCCTGGTTACTAGAAGGGGACTCACTTCTTCCAAAGCGGCCAACCTGCTTCGCAGTTCCCTCACTTCGTCTGGAACGGGAAGGCTGTCACTTCCTGCAGCACAAATGCACATCAAAACAAAACAACAACAAAATGTTGGTAAGAAACCTGGTTAAGGACAGACATCGCAACGATTCCAGGAATGTTGTGTTTGTTGCTATTCTGGGATGAAATAAGAGGCTCCCGAAAGTCTGTCCAAATTTCTCTCGGCCCCTTCGCACACTAAGAGAACCAGGATCTCGAGTTTCTTTCTGGAACTTTCTTCTCTCTGTCCACGTCCCCCCCTCGACGTCTCTCTTCTTCCTTCCTCAAAGCCAGATCTGCATTCCTTCACAACGGCTTCCCAAGCAATCCGGAGGACGGAGGCAAATTGTTCCCAGTTATATAGAGCAGTAGCCCTTAGACTTATATGCCACTTAAAAACACTGTGAAGCGGGATATAAGACTGCTATGGCAATTGCTATCTGGCACTCTGCTTATTCAGGCAGAATAGCAAATATTGCCAACCATACAGTTGAGGTGTTGGGCTGGAAAGCAGTGGAACCTGGGTTCAAGACCACCCTCAAACACAGAAGCCCACTGAGTGTCTTAAACCACTTGCTGGCTCTCTCCCCAGCCTACTTTGCAAGCTTATTTTTGAATGGAGCATTATATCTTGCGCTCCTGGAGGAGAAGTGATAAAAACCAACCAAACACCCCCCAGACGTTAAAAATCCTCCTTCTCTTGGTCTCCCCAAGAGAGGGCAGGAAATCAGCCCTGCGTTAAGTAGCTCTTCCCTTCCCACGGATCGAAGCGTTGCTCCAGCGACACGTTGCTCCACTCTTCCTCTTCGGCGTAAAGGCTGCCCCTCTGCGCATTATTACTCACGGTACGAGTTTGAAGTGGCACAGCGCGTACCAAAAGTAATAATGAGCCGCGATCAGCCTGGGCTGGTAGTCTTCTCTTCCTGCTCGGGGTGCAACATAGAGAAGGAAGGCAGTAGGTGGACCCCCCGAAGCCCCTGAGAAAAGTCTTGAGGTGCTACAGGAAGGTGTGCGCAGAGTTAAAAGTGATGTTTGGGAGCTCCAGGTAAGTCATGTTGGGTCAGGATTAGGGACCAGGTAATCTTGGGTGCACTGCACAGGATGGGTTCATACCAGGGGTGAAATCCTCCCAGTTTGGCACAGTTCGGCCGAACTGGTAGGGACGATTGTCCTTAGTTCTGCGAACCAGTAGTAAAAAAAAGCTTCCAATTAAAGTATTTAAAATATTTTAAAAACTTTTAAAAATAGCTTTTGACAATTGTGCAGCTCAGCTGTGAGCTGTGCGATTGTTGGAAACTTTCCCCCCCCCCCACTGCTTTTTTAAAAATCTAAAAAAATAGCTTCCAATGATCACACACTGAGCCACATGATCGTTGGAAGCTATTTTTAAAGCTTTTTAAAGTATTTTAAAGTATTTTTTCCTTTAAAAAGCCAAAAAAACAGCTTAAAGTGAAAAAAAATTGGCCATGCCCACCCAGTCACATGACACCGCCACCACAAAGCCACACCCACAGAACTGGTTGGGAGGGATTAGGTTTCATCTCTGGGTAACATCAATTTAGTCTAGCTGTGAAAAACTGAGTTTTCCCACAAAGCTGCACGTAGCATCTGAGAACATGCTTGGAGAAGATAGACATTCCTGCATTATTCAGAAGCAACAAGAACAGTGCAGCCATTCCTTTTTGAGGACCAAGTGGGTCCCCACAGCACCTTGGGGGTGAAGCCTCTGGAGTCGTATTTCTCAACCTCTGCCACTTTAAGATGGATGGACTTCAATTTTTCAGAATTCTAGGAGTCCACTCATTGTAAAATGGCAGAGTTGAGAAACACTGCTAGTGTTTTCATCCAGAGTACAGTTGATGTAGCAGTTGATGAATACAGTTGACAGATGGACTGCAAGGTGATCCAACCGGTCAGTCCTGGAGGAGATCAACCCTGGCTGCTCTTTAGAAGGCCAGATCCTGAAGAGGAA